AAGCACCTGACAGTCTCTTTAAAAGGTGTTTATTGATCATATACAAAATAAAGAAAACCTTATATATCACAAACATACACTATGTACAGCAATAAATACCCGGGGGGCCCGGCCCAGCGCCGCCCCTCCTGGACAATAATTTAGCAATAAATACTGCGCAGGGCGGGTGGGGCCCAGAGGCCGGTCGCTGCCCAGAGCGGCGCCCCTACCCCAGTGCCCGGCCCGGCCCGACCCGCTCTGACCCCCACCGTCCCGGCCGCAGCCCTGGGCAGGGTCTGATCAACTACGCTCCGACCCCTCTCGGCGCCACAAGGGCGGCAGAGCCGGACACCGGGCAGCCCTTGTCCTGTTGCCCTAAGTTGCCAGGAGGAGCTTTCTGTACCCACTCCCGTTTGGTTAAAGGCTTCGGGACTAAGCGGGGTGAGGGATGGGGAGGGTGCAGGGAAGGGACAGGAGGTGGTTAAGGGGGCCAAAGCCCAACTGGGGTCACCCGGAACGGGGAGATATCACAGTCCACCGGGCTCAGATCCACCGGACACCTAGAGTGTTGAGGCTGCTGCTCCAGGGGATGGATGGAAGTTTGTGCGATTGGCACACAGGTGTGGCACCTGCCCAGGACACACACACACACACACACAGCGGGACAGGCTATCGGCATTTCCGCCGGCACACCCCCGCCTGAGCGGGGCACCAAGCATGTCCTCCTCTCTCCCCAGCTGCTCCAAAACCACTGACAGCCAGCAGGAAGGGAAAAAGCGACAAAAAGAATTATTCAGTGGCTTCTGGGGGGAAAATCGTTAATGTGTTGGTTTCTTTCACCAAACCACAGCCTAAAAAAATAACTCACAAGATCCCAGAGAGGAAACAGCGCTGCAGGCTGTGGCTCGGCTTCCCAGCTGTGGGCAGGGAGCTACGACCAAGAGGCCACTCCAGAGAGGGAGGCAGCAAGGAGAAGACAGGGCCTGACCAGGTATCCCAGAGCCGGCTGTGGCCAGTCAGAGCCGCCACCAGACAGTCAGGCCAGAGCAGAAAAGCCTCTAGCTTCCGGGGAGGGGAGGTGCCCAGCAGACACACCCGTGTCACATGCCAGTGCCACACAGAGCCACTACAGAGCAGCAGCTGGGGATAGGGAGGCCCCCTGAGGCCAGACACTTCGAGCAGAGCTGACCTGTTACTGCGGGGTTGTTTTCTGAAACCCGAGCGTCCATGTTGGGATGAGAGAGAAGCTGGGGCAAGGTCAGGGTCAGAGGGAGACACGCATCATGGTTTACGTAGCGGACAAGTTTGGGAGACTTGGCCTCGGCCCAAGCCTCGACTCGCTGTGTCAGAAAGGTTCAGCGGAGAAAGGAGGAAACAGAACACAACACTCTCACGGCAGGAAAACGGAATCAACAAGGGTCAGAAGGACACAAAACAGTCACAGGTGCGCACGGATCTAGCGCCAAGAAACCAAGGGGAAGGGGCAGAGGGGTGGGGCAGCCCCTCAGGGCTGGCTTGGCGGGACGGGAAGGCTCCCCCAGACCTGGGAACAGTGGCTCCAAGACCAAACACCGTGAACGGAAGCATGGCCTTCTTGCAATGTCACTCACTCCAGATCAGCTTCTTCCTCAGGATGAGCCAAGGACCTGTACCTGCTGCCACAGTGCCCACCCTCAAGCCCTTCCTCGCCTCACCCGCTTCCTGCCTCTGCTCTCCAAGCCGGCCATCTGAGGCCTGCAGAGGTGCTTAGAGACGGACGACAGCTCCCCTCGCCAGGGACAAAAGCGAGAAGAGAGCGAGGAAGTGGAGGGTCTGTCCTCCTCGCTCCACTGTGGGTCACGACCTCTCTTTCAGGCTCCTCATGATACCATTCACACTCACTGCTACACCACCGCCCTCGCAACGTAGCCCGGATCCCAGTGGGACAAAGCCCGGCGGCAGGAAGGGCTTAAGCCACGGAGGGACTTGGAGTCACAGAGCTGTGTGTGGGCCAGCCAAGTGAAGCTGGGAGCACCCGAGCACACGCCTGCCACGACCGCACACACGTGTGGCCACACTCACCCACAAGACACTGCCCCCCCAAAGCCGTCCCAGCCCACCTGCCTTGCTTCTCACCTCCTTGGCAACCCTCACCTCTGTTCTCTGGGGCCCTGGAGACACTGGCCAGTGACACCAGAAAAGACCAAGCCCCTGTGGCCAGAGACAGAGCTGCAGCATCTCGGGCCGTGCCGTGAGCTGCCCCGACACACCCTACGTGGAGCTGTCTGAGCCAAGGCTGGAGGATCGGCTGCCTGCCCAGTGGCCAACATGGGGTGGTGGGCCCGGCTATGAGGGAAGTGCCTCTGAAAGCTGAGCAGCCAGTCCCTGGAAGACACAGATTCCAAAGGGAAGCGGAAGAAGGGCCCGGAGCTGAGAGCTGCCGGCCCGTGCACGGAGAGGGGCGGCAGGCCCAGCGTTGAGGTCGTAGCCCTTGCTGGCACTGGTGGAGACCCCCCAGGCCCTTGGGGCAAGGAAGGGATATGGAAGAAGCCCTACTCCTGGGGAAGCACCACCCCAGCCCTGAAACACTTCTGGAACAAGTGGGCAGTGGGGTCATAGCCCCCAGTGTGGGCCCAGCAGCTCTCTGGCAGAGGCCATGCAAGAAGCCCAGGAGCAAAGCCGACGCCAGGCCTGTGCTGCTGACGGGGAGCAATGAGGAAGACAGCTCGGGCAGCTGGGCCATGCCCCACAGGCACCACAGTGACTCCTGGGTCCCTGCCAGGCTGCTGCCCAGGGCCAGAGGCAGTGGACGTGGAGGCAGCAGTGGCGGCAGCACGGGAGGCCACGGGGAGGCCCCCAGTTCCACCTGCCCTATCACTGGCCCCGCCCAGGTCCCAGAGACACACACAAGCTCTCACGCATGAAGCCGAGGGTCAAGGGCGGGGCACAGAGCCCAGCGCCCGCATCCAACATACACCCAGAGCAGAGGTGGGCCACCAAGGCTCACAGGGCGGCACGGGGAGGAGGGGAGGCTGTGCCGCCCGGCGCCCTGGCCCGGCAAGCCAGCAGGAGCACGAACACAACCAAATCCCAAAAACAAACACAGGGGAGCGGACACAAGAACCGACACCCACAGGTCAAAGGTCACCAGAAGCACCAGCACGTTACGGCTGCACAAGACCTCACCAGGCACGACAAACCACGGCGCCGCCAAGAGACGGAAGCAGAAGGGGCAAAGGCGTAAGTCACTTTCGGTACAATTGCAAAAGAGATATCAAAGGGACGTGAGGACAAACCTGGGGGGTTTGCGGCTTGTTTTTTTTTTTTTTTTTTTTTTTTTTTAAACTAAGTTTTATAAATAACGTCTGATAACTCTGTGTATATAAAAACTAAACTCCAACAGCCACAAAGAGTTGTCCATAAGTTTACA